CACTAGAGATATGTTTAGCCCTACAATCATGACTTCTTCATCTCTCATTCAATAGATGTACTAGCCTTAACAGAAACCTGGATCTCCCCCTCTGACACTGCCACCCCTGCATCTTTGTCCTTAGGTGGTCTCCAACTTACCCACAACCCAAGAAACTCTGAATGTAAGGGTGGTGGTGTTGGGTTTCTCCTCTCCCCTGACTGCTCTTTTAAACCTCTTCCCACCCCCCCTTCCCTCTCTTTCCCGTCATTTGAAATACACTCAATTCGCCTTTTCAAACCCTTCTCTGCTAACATTGCTGTTATTTACAGTCCCCCTGGTTCCCCTCTTCTCTTCCTTGACCACTTTGCTGCCTGGCTACCCTATTTCCTCTCTTCTAACATCCCATCCCTAATTCTCGGGGACTTCAATATTCCTATAAACCCACCTTTGACCTCTGCAGCCAATAAACTACTTTCAATTACTTCCTCCCTCGGGCTACCACAGTGGGCAAATTCTCCCACCCATGTAGCTGGCAATACCCTTGACCTAATCTTCACTTATGCATGTACTGTATCTAATATCTGCAACACTCCGTATCCACTCTCTGATCACCACCTCTTATCGTTTGCTCTCACGTACCCCCTCACCCAACAACAGGGCCGGACTGGCCCACCGGGATACCGGGAAATTTTCCGGTGGGCCGTCGGCACCTGGGGCCGGGCAGACACCTGGGCCGGGGGGCAGGGAGTCAATTGCCCCCCAGGCCGCCCTAAATTCCTGTAAGACCGGCCGCGGCGGGCCGGCCCTTTAAATACTGCAGCCGCCTGAGCGCTCTGTTAAGAGCCTCAGGCGGCTGCAGCTTCTCCCCTCCCCTGCCCTCCCCTGTAGCGTGGCCGAGCTGCACTCCGGTCCACGGTGGCCGGCCGGCCGGCCGGAGCGATAGGAAGGGGCACACTGAGTGTGCACTTCCTGTCAGTCAAGCCGGTTACAGGAAACAGAAACTCCGCGCGGAACAGGAGTTTCTGTTTCCTGTAACCAGCCGGACTGACAGGAAGTGCACACTCAGTGTGCACCTTCCTATCACTCCGGCCGGCCACCGCGGACCTGAGTGTAGCTTGGCCACGCTACAGGGGAGGGGGTAAGAAGAGAGGG